ATTTGACCGTATTTTATAAGTGCCACCGAGTCACGGGTCACAGGTGAGTCACATGGGTCACATAGGTCACATGGGTCGAATTTATCGAATTAGAGACTTGGCATGGTTATTCAGTGATTAATCATGGATTTTAACATCAATTACTTATGGATTACATTTGTATGAGTGATTTGAATATGAAAATTGAAACGAACATGATTTTAAAGTTGTAATTGATGTTAAAATCCATGATTAATCACTGAATAACCATGTCAAGTCTCTAATTCGATAAATTCGACCCATGTGACCTATGTGACCCATGTGACTCACCTGTGACCCGTGACTCGGTGGCACTTATAAAATACGGTCAAATACGGTCAAATCTCGATTTTAAAGTGTTAAAATGGTTTATATGATGTTTTACAATGATAATATGGTATCTTCAAGTTAAATTCGTTAACATAAGTAAGAGTTGTATGAACATTAGTACAATTTGTTCATAAGTTGTCATGAAACACTAGTATCACTTATGAAATACATTTGCATGAGTGACTTGAATATGAAAATTGAAACTATGAACATTAGTACAATTTGTTCATAAGTTGTCATGAAACACTAGTATCACTTATGAAATACATTTGCATGAGTGACTTGAATATGAAAATTGAAACGAACATGATTTTAAAGTTGTTATTGATGTTAAAATCCATGATTAATCACTGCTACTAGTGTTTCATGACAACTTATGAACAAATTGTACTAATGTTCATATAACTCTTACTTTTGTTAACGAATTTAACTTGCAGATACCATATTATCATTGTAAAACATTATATAATCTATTTTAACACTTTAAAATCGAGATTTGACCGTGTTTTATAAGTGCCACTGAGTCACGGGTCACATGGGTCACATGGGTCACACAGTGTAAAAATGGCTTCGGGTCACATGGGTCACGGGTGAGTCACATGAGTCACACAGTTCAAAACTTTTTTCTATCTATTCAAGACTTTAACACGGTACGAATGCAATTTCGCAAATTTCGCAAATTATCGAAGAGAGAGCAAGCAAATCGGATAAATGAAGCAAATGTAGGGACACAGAGACCAAATCTGAAGGGATAGCAACCAAATCGGAAGAGAGAGGGCAACCAAATCAGAAGAGAGAGAGAGTGCATGAAAAGGAGTATCTGGAAAGTAATGAAAGGAATTTTCATAACATGCCCGCCAATATCTTGGAGACTGCACATACTGTTGTTTTCCTGATTGTCTTCATCATTGGTTACGACAAGACCTCTGTTCCAGTCAAGGTATCTCACAATCATATGAGATGTTCCAGGTTCGGGTATATGTGAATACCTATGAATTGATGGATTGCTCCACTTTGTGCAGACAAGAAAAGCAAAGCACTCTGCTATTCTGTAGAACAGGAGAAAGAAGATCTTCCGTGACGGCGGAGAGAAATTCAGGGGAAGAAAGAGGATAGTCCAAGAAGAGAGAAAAAAAAATGAAATGTACCCAAAGTTTACGAATAAGTCCCACCATCCTAATGCAGCTACATCACCTATGCGTAGAACCGAGATATCAAAGATTCAGATAGAAAATAAGCTGAAACAAGATATAACAAGAAGGCATTGTGTGTATAATCTATATAGAGCTATCCTATTCCTATCTCCCTGGGCATGGAATAGAACATTTGCTCAAAAAAGCAGTAACGTACCACATAGCTTCAGAAGAGTGAAAGTGGTGGCAGCAATGAAGAAAACCATCGATATCGAAACCCAAAAATGCTACAAAATAAACGACACGTCAGAGCATAAATCTGCAAGAAAAGAGAAATATATATTGCAGATATGCCTCATGTAAAGATCATATTCCTACTTTCTGTGGCATTCTGGTTGTGGAAATATAAACTTACAGGAAGCGTCTCCCATATGGCTTCATCACTCATTGTTTCCTCATCTCCAGGCATGAGCGTCCTGCATATTCTGCACAGAAAATCAACTCGTCACTGAAAGGAAGAAATGAACCAGGAAAAAGATGGTATTGGGCTGAAGGCTTTAGAGGAAGTACCTGACATTATCAATCAAAATTGCTACCTCAAATGCAAGCAAGGGAAAGAAGACGATCTTCAAGTCTACAACTGTAACAGAGGTACAACCAGAACTGAATAAGTAGTACATATTATCAAAAGATAATGAAGAACTTGAAGATTCAACTAGTAAGCATGATTTTCATGGAAGATAATAGAATCAACCATTGCTATCTTCCAGATGAACACAAAGCAGAAGCTCAAAAGCAACAAGCAATGGCGTCGCCATGACCGAATGGAACGGGGCCCACTGCCACAAGAACCAAATCAAAGAATCTTTCAGTTTATGTTTGATCAGGACAACATGTTACTACCACCATGCTAACCGAAGAAAGTTATAACACAGACAGGAAAGAGACGGAGAAAACTGTCATACATGTCGATCACGAGGCATTGATGGAGCAGGCAGGGAAAATCTACCGCGTGCAACCACAGCATGAAATAGCAACAATGGTGCAAATACAATCCTGTAAACCAAAAAAAAAAGAACAATAGAGCAGTTGAACTGGAAAGTCACAACTCTATCTTGTCTTGAACCCTAAGACGGTAAAGACGATCAACTTTCAATTTCAGATTCGTCGGAAAAAAAAACAAGGATTCGAGCAACAAAACCAAACAGGGATTGGAGTTAGAAGACGATCCCAGTACCACGAACTCAAAGCTCGTTCCATTACAACCTTAAATCCGAAAAATTCAAACTTCTGTCCAAATATATTACGTAATCATTAACAAGCCTTAGATCCAAGGTAGAAACTCAACGTAGTTTCCAGATAAACTGGCATAATTCCCGATTATCCGAGAAACCAAACAGAGGTCAAGTCACAAAACCACAAAAAGAAGAAAGAAACAATTAACTGACCACCATGAATGGGAGAAGACATGATCAAGCTTCAGAGCGAGAAGAAGGGTGAAGGAGAAGAGCAAACCATGCGCCATCACAGCCTGCATCGACTTCCACACTCTCCTCCAGCACATTAATCTCCTCTGCACCAACATTTTCTCCCTAAACAATTTTTACATAAATATCCTAATCTCCAAAATCAAATCCTTACATACAGCTTCTCAATCAAAATCCGATTATCAATTCCGCGAAACTTTGTTGGGGAAGTAGAGAATTTTCAGATGCAGTAGAGCAAATGGGAAGCAAGAAAACAGCGATCATTCTCTGGTCAAAACGACGCATTCGTTTCCACGCTAAAGCAAGTCTCCGACTTTTGTAAGCTTTGACTAAAATACCCTCCAAGTGCTGAACCATACGATTTTGGTGTCCCATTGAAACCTGGGCAGGTTCTCGTGCATTCAAGACAAATATACCCTTAAAATGCTATCCTTACTTCACACCCTACCCTCCAAAAATTAAATCTAAAAAAAAGAAAAATTTAAATGAGTTAAAGACATAAATAACCCTAGATTTTAAGGGAAAGACAAAAAAGACCATACCTTTTCAATTAAAAAAGGACAGTTTTTTTAAAAAAAAGAAATCCCCATCTCTTTCTCTCGATAAACTCTCACCCTCTCTCTCTCTTCTGTTGAACTCTCTCTCTCTTGTATTATTTCGAAAACTCTCTTTCTCTCTTGTGCGATTTCAAGAACTACTATTTCTTTTTCATGATTTTCAGAAACTGAGGCGATTTTCCTTATAATTTCGGTATCTCTCTTGCGATTTGTGTGAAAAATCAAACACTCATGGATCCAAGAACACATGTGTCTTCTGCTTCGTCTTCGTCTGCATCTCAGACTGGTTCATCTTCGTCATCGTTGGACAAAGATCTCCCATTAGAAACGGTAAGTTTTTTTGCATATTCTTCTCCGTTTTTTTCTTCTGTGACCTGATCCTTGAGTAAAATTATTAAACTTATTGGATACTTTAGGATTTCAAAATAGGAATTTAGGGTTTAGGGATTTCGAAATTGAAAATTAGAGTAGATTTCTAAATATAAAGTTAGGGTTTTTTGTTTTGAAATATATAATTTGGGTTTTAGGAATTCGAAATAGAAAGTTAGGGTGTGAACGTGGGATTTCGAAATACCTTAGCAAGTTTAATGTTTTCCTAAGTCGCAAGGTCATGTAGGTCACATGTTATATGAGTCACATAGATTTATATGGTAACAAGATAATATGACTCACAAGGAGCACACAGGTCATACGGATCACGGGTCACGAGTCACGGGTCACATGGATCACGGGTCACACGGGTCACGGGTCACAGGTCCAAGGTCACAAAGATCATAATGACGAACAATTATTTTATTTTGCAGCTTCCATTTGTCTACAAATTCGAAGACATTCAGTTTTCTTTCGAAGATCAATATGAAGTGTTATCCCTATGAGATGCTATAGACGCTTAAAGAAGTATTAACACGGGATGAATGGATGTACTTCGAGAAAGAATCACAGTTCCAACATCTATATATTCCACGCACAATGGGAACCACAGTTAAAGATGGCGCTTGCGGGAGTCCTCATTAACCGCTAATCCATTATTGTGAACTCTTTCGTATTTTGTAAACTTATTATTTATTGTGAACTCATTCGTAGTTTGTAAACTCAGTTTTTGTAAACTCTTTCGTATTTTGGCGCTTGCGGGAGTCCTCATTGAGCACGCACTTATATCTGGTTTGAACAAGGGAACAGAATTCATGTCGATATGCGATGGGACCATACCACTCATCCGTAAAAAATTGGCTATCGATATATTTTGTAATGGTAAAAATGTGTATAACTAACCCGTTATTTATTGTGAACTCTTTCATAATTTGTAAACTCAGTTTTTGTAAACTCTTTCGTATTTTGGATTTTACTTTTACTTTTACTTGGAAATGAGAAAGAAGAAAAAACATAAGTCCAATGGGTCACATGGATCACATGGGTCACATGAGTCACAGGTCACACGGGTCACACGGGTCACATGGGTCACGGGTCACGGGTGAGTCACATGGGTCACATGGGTCACATAGGTCGAATTTATCGAATTAGTGACTTCGCATGGTTATGCAGTGATTAATCATAGATATTAACATCAATAACAACTTTAAAATCATGTTCGTTTCAATTTTCATATTCAAGTCACTCATGCAAATGTATTTCATAAGTGATACTAGTGTTTCATGACAACTTATGAACAAATTGTACTAATGTTCATATAACTCTTACTTTTGTTAACGAATTTAACTTGCAGATACCATATTATCATTGTAAAACATCATATAAACCATTTTAACACTTTAAAATCGAGATTTGACCGTATTTTATAAGTGCCACCGAGTCACGGGTCACAGGTGAGTCACATGGGTCACATAGGTCACATGGGTCGAATTTATCGAATTAGAGACTTGACATGGTTATTCAGTGATTAATCATGGATTTTAACATCAATAACAACTTTAAAATCATGTTCGTTTCAATTTTCATATTCAAATCACTCATACAAATGTAATCCATAAGTGATACTAGTGTTTCATGACAACTTATGAACAAATTGTACTAATGTTCATATAACTCTTACTTTTGTTAACGAATTTAACTTGCAGATACCATATTATCATTGTAAAACATCATATAACCCATTTTAACACTTTAAAATCGAGATTTGACCGTGTTTTATAAGTGCCACTAAGTCACGGGTCACAGGTGAGTCACATGGGTCACATAGGTCACATGGGTCGAATTTATCGAATTAGTGACTTGGCATGGTTATTAAGTGATTAATCATGGATTTTAACATCAATAACAACTTTAAAATCATGTTCGTTTCAATTTTCATATTCAAATCATTCATACAAATATAATACATAAGTGATACTAGTGTTTCATGACAACTTATGAACAAATTGTACTAATGTTCATATAACTCTTACTTTTGTTAACGAATTTAACTTGCAGATACCATATTATCATTGTAAAACATTATATAATCTATTTTAACACTTTAAAATCGAGATTTGACCGTGTTTTATAAGTGCCACTGAGTCACGGGTCACATGGGTCACATGGGTCACACAGTGTAAAAATGGCTTCGGGTCACATGGGTCACGGGTGAGTCACATGAGTCACACAGTTCAAAACTTTTTTCTATCTATTCAAGACTTTAACACGGTACGAATGCAATTTCGCAAATTTCGCAAATTATCGAAGAGAGAGCAAGCAAATCGGATAAATGAAGCAAATGTAGGGACACAGAGACCAAATCCGAAGGGATAGAGGTGATCTAACCAAGGCATTAACC